ACAGGAAAAGCGCATGAGTCAAATCCAATGAAAGCATTTCGCTCCACTACTCACTAAGGGCGAGATCCACTAGCAAAGAGGATTAGATTGAATGCCTGAATCTGGACGTGTTTGTGGGGCAAAGGATAATCGAGATTGAACTGCTGCTTTTCTGCATCTCTGCGTAAAACACGTCCAGATTCAGGGGGCAAGAATAATCGAGATTGAACTGCTGCTTTTCTGCATCTCTGATGAAAACACGTCCAGATTCAGGAGCTTACTCCAATCCTCTTTTCTAGTGGGACTTAGCCCCAAATGTGCGAAGGCCCAAAGTAAAGAAACACCACACTGCTCCGGACGTGTTTGTGGTGCAAGAAAAATCGAGATTGAACTGCTGGTTTTCTACATCTCTGCTGAAAACACGTCCAGATTCAGGAGCTTAATCCAATCCTCTTTTCTAGTGGCACCTCGCCCCAAATGTGCCAAGCCCCAAAGTAAAGAAACATGACACTGCTCCAAACGCGTTGTGTAACCTTTTCTTTTTTCTTCTTTTTTTTTTTTCGCATAGGCTGCATTTTTTTTAAGTTTTTTTTTGGGAAAACACAGGCTGCCTTTACACCTCCCAGGCTCCCACCGGAGCAATTTAAAATCTCACGAATCTTCTCACTGCACCGCCGAAATCCCTGCGATATTATCTGGTCGCAATCACGGTCGGGTGCATGATCTGTTTCTTCTTATTGCCGGGAGCTAACTTGGGTTGTACCCATTGAGATCTACAGTCTTCCCCCGAATACAACGTGCGGTCATTATAACTGAATTTAGCCGGAAGGATAGACGAAATTCAGCTATAATGACCGTACGTTGTATTCGGGGGAAGACTGGTGGGGTGCCTGGAAGATGGCAGTTCCTACAGAGGTCCAAGGGTGCAAGGTGGGAACACCTCGTCTCGTTAATCCAGGCTCCCCTCGGCTACTAGCTGCTCTGTCGTGCCGCTATTGATGCTGTCTTTCCTTCGGTGGAAAGTACTTCATCTGCTCGTTGGGTTCATCCTTTTCTGGAACTTTCGAGATTCCTCTCTCGTTCACAATCTTTTTTTTGGCTTTGTTCATTAGGGTTTAGTCATACCAAGACTTGTACATCTTCAACAATGGCCGTTTGCCTTTTGCTGGCCACCTACACAGGCTGGACTCAATAGGCTTGATACAGATTTTTCGAACATGGATCTTGAATTGGTTACAGGTTAAACCACCAGTACTTGCTAAAGTGGTGACCGTTAACGCTTACGCGATTTTAGGAAACGTACGGGCCACTACAGAAGCGCCCAAATTCATCCAACTAGAAACGTTTCTACTCTATTTTTTTTCTGCGGCCGATAGCTGGGCCAAGTACTGGTGGTTTAAGGGTGCTGTCAATTTAGACATTAGGGATAGCTGGTTTCTCAGCTCTCAGCTCTGGTCCTTCACGCTCGGAAATGCATTTGGATGAAACCGTTTTAGGTTGCTGGATACTGTCAAATATTCGTACCTTTTTTTTTTTACCGCGCTTGAGGGGAATTTTTTTGAGAAGCTTCTTTGAGATAACAGAGATAACAGAGATAACAGAGATAAAAGACAGAGATAACAGAGATAACAGAGATAAATAACAGAGATAACAGAGATAACAGAGATAACAGAGAGAGAGAGAAAATGGGGCACTGGACCGGTTTCCAGTTCTGCCGAGGCTAGGTAATCATTATGGCCGCAGTATGTTCATCCGGGTTGAATTGTGAGGTCCGGCATTTTCCTGAACGTCTGATATTTGTAATAAAGGTGACCAACTTCTCAAAAAAAAAAAAAAAAAAAAAAAGAGAACGTTCCCAGTTTTGACCTCCGTCAATTTTCTTTTTTCCCGTTATGCGTCTCCATATCTCCTTTCTCCGGTTTTCCTTTTTTTTATATTTTTTTTTATTGGTAATTGCTGACGCGTTTTCATGTGATTTTTAATCTGAATGTATATGCATTATTCCAAACTGTGGATCGCAGGTCTGTATCGGGGTCATCATCTGGAACCGCGAATTGATCGGACAGTGGGTGCTCTGAATCTGGTCCTAATAGCGGTGAAGAGAACAGAAGAAGACGACAAGCCTGCGTCTGACAATTGAGTGACTGCAAGAGTGCTCTGTATCTGGTCGTGACAGCGGGAGGAGTCATCCGCGCGAGAATGAGCATATTTTTTAGGATAAGGTAGGGTGTATTTCCCGCCAGTTTATGGATATGTACATCTTGAGAACAATCGTGTGATAATCATTACGCAGCGGGTGCGCTGAACCTGGTCACTGACAGGGGAGGTGGAGGTGGAGGTGGTGTACAGACTGCTCGTCTAGGTGGAGTGGGTGCGTTTTAACTCTGTTCGCTAAGAGGAGAGGAAAGGAGAGGAGAGGACGAGAGGAGAGGAGAGGAGAGGAGGTGATGAGACTGCCCCCCTTTCTCTTGCATGAGAGGAGAGCCTGGACAGCTGAGGATTGGAAGCGTTGAGGTGATCCCTGCTCTGGCATATACAGTGAGTAAAAGGTAGAGGGATACCGTTCTTGCCTCTTTGTCTAAAAATAGATCAGGTGCAGTGTATGTCCCGCTCTCTAGCCTCTTTGGCCTCAAAATAGATTGATTGATTGATTGATTGGTTAATTAATAAATACTAGTATAATAAATAAAGCAGAACCCCACCGGGCATTTCAATCAAGATCAAGACATGAGTAGTCTTTGTACAGTAGGAGGTGGCGGCACGACTGCATGTAAGGTATCCCTCTACAGGGCAGCAGCTAGACCGAACGAGGGAAATTCGAAAGGGGTCTTCAAGTTGATATTGGCAAAATGTCCGTGTGCTCTTAGTGGGGACCACAGCACCCTGCATTATAATAATAATAATAATAATAATAATAATAATGATAATAATAATAATAATAAGAAGAAGAAGAAGAGTGTTATGATGAGTCGTATTATCAATGTAAATGTTGGTCATAGCAATTTTCATAATAATATTATTAGGAGCAATGTATGTGGTCACGGTGGGATGAAGGGGATACAGCAGGGTAGCTACTGCCGCAATAAGAAAGAACAGCTATGGTCGTCGGTCTTGCGTGCTGTCTCCTTCTCTTCTCTCTCCGATGGAACTGGAACTGCTAACGGAAGTCGTAACGGAAGAAGAGGAGTGGGAGGGCGTATAAGAGGAGTGGGTAGGTGTACAAGAGGAGTGGGTGGGTGTATAAGAGGAGTGGGTGGGTGTACTATAATACCCACAACACCTCTCCCATGTTCATTGACACCGATCTGTGACACTAATATGTTTGTGACAGGACGGAGGAGTTCGGACGAGAATGTCCAGCAGCTTGGAAAGCAGAGGGGGGGGGTACGTTTGGTGGCGATATCCCCTTGCAAGGAGTTAGTCGGCGGGGAGGAGGTGGTCGTGTACGGGAGCACTGGGGAGAAGAGGAGGAGGAGGAGGGGGTTGATCGGCTTGACCCGTGGACGTGAGTCTTTTGCGAGGCTACTCGGGGCTTGCGTCAGCGGCGGCGGAAGTCGTTTGTCGACATTCTGCGGCTATGGGAGCTGTCGTCTGAGCAGGCTCGGTAGTTGCCGCCGGAGGAGGAGGATTGGGAGGTGGGGGAGTGATGGTGATGATGAGGTCTTGAGGCTTGGGAAGTGTGGAAGGAGGCTTGCCAGCAGCAGCAGCAGCAGCAGCAGCGGCAGCAGCGGCAGCTACGTCTCGTATGAGTGTGAGCGATCACGGTTTTTCAGCAGGTGTAGGAGACTCAGTGAGATTTGGAGGTCCCGATCGGGGCGGCAGCAGAGTAGACGTGGAGGGCACGGTCCTCGGTTGAAGGTGGAGATGGTCGACTCTGTGCCTGATGACGTCAGCGAAAAATTTGACCCGCCGGAGGTTTTGGCGCACAAAATAGATCGATTGGGCGACATGATTCGAGACAGCCAGTACATGGTGGCATACACGGGCGCCGGGATCTCGACGAGCGTGGGTATTCCCGACTTCAGGGGCCCTGAGGGGGTGTGGACGCTGCGCGCCAAGGGGCTGTCCCCTCCGCGTCGTCGCGGAGGGGGTGGTGGTCCCCCGCAGCCGTCGCTTACGCACATGGCGCTCGTGGAGCTAATCAACAGAGGCAAGCTCAAATTCCTAATTAGTCAGAACACGGACGTGTTCGGGCTCCATCTCCGCTCAGGAGTGGATCGCCGATTTCTTGCGGAGCTGCATGGCAACACCAACTCAGAGATCTGCAGAAGCTGCGGGGAGGAGTATTGGAGGCCATTCTCCACGCGGGAGGCGTATCATGTCCACGATCACAAGACGAGTAGGAGGTGCGACAGATGCGGATCTGTTCTGGAAGATTCGATCATCAACTTCAACGAAGCTCTGCCGGCCAGGACGCTCCAGAAAGCCATGCAGCAATCGGATATGGCGGATCTGGGGCTGGCGCTGGGGAGCTCGCTGCGCGTCTCCCCCGCAGCCGACCTCCCCCTGCGCATTCTTCGACGCGGGAAGCCGGTAGTTATCGTCAATCTCCAGACAACACCGATCGATCCTGTCGCAACGATGAAGATCAACGCGCGAGTCGATGAAGTGATGGAGGGGGTGATGCGCAAGCTGGGATGGGAGATTCCCCCCGTCCGAGATCTGCTGACAGAGGAGCGCAATCCGCCGCCAGCTGGGAGCAGCGGCTAAATGACTAAGATGGTGGCAGATTCCTGCCCCCCGTCCCCTTCCCCCCCTCCCCCGGTTCGAATAGCGCAATCCGCCAGCTGGTAGCAGGGGCTAGATGAGCAGGAAAGGAAGTCAACGGTCAATTGATGAGATATACATGTGCGAATCAAGGAGGGAGGTTGCGGAAAGGCGGGCGGGACAAGGGGCAGGGGGGCGGGGGGAAGATGTGGAGGGGGTTGGGATGGTGGTGGAGTGTCCGAGTTCCTCCCCCCACCCCCTGGTCTGAGATCTTCTGAGGAGGGGAGCGCAGGACTGCCAGCTGGCCGGCGGGAACTAGATGAGGAAGAAAAAAATCGACGGTCAAGATGTATGCATGGACCGACGAGGCTGTGGAGGGGTAGATGTGGAGGTTGGGATGGGAGAGATCCCGCACTTTCCGAGATCTGATGAGAGAGGAACTCAGTCCGCCAGCTGTCAACATCAACAGCAGCTAAGTCAGCAGACGAGGAAATTCAGCAGCTGTCAACATCAACAGCAGCTAAGTCAGCAGACGAGGAAATTCAGCGGTCAAGATGTGTGCAAGCAGTGCCAAGCACTACTCAAGACATACAAGCACTACTAAACGACGGAGGTCACGTGGTTTTTTTTTTGGGGGGGGGAAAAGGGGGCGGGGGGGAGAGGGGGTTGATGTGGAGGTTGGGATGGGAGAGTTTGCTCCTGGTTTGAGATCTGCTGTGGGAGGTAACGTAGGTAAGTGCATGCCGCCAGCTGGCATGCGTTAGCTGAGGGAGGATGCGTAGCCCGCGACGTGGCAGCAGCTAAGGGAGCGAGATACTGACTTTCCGACGTCTGCGGAGAGAGGTGGAGAGAGGTGGAGTGCTGCCAGCCGGCGGTGGCAGCTAGGTAGGTGAGCGAAATATGGTCTTACAAGTCTTGCCGTCGGGACTTCGGATCCTTGCATGTACCCGGCCCATTCTGATTGCCTGAGGTCTGCATGGTGGGAATCCGATCCCGATCTGACGTGTCCAGGATCTGGAAGCTCAGTGACCGGTAGCTATGGCCAACGACCGGCAGTTGACTGTTGCTACGGAAGGAGCATTAGTGCGAGAAGGCAGGCAGGTAAGGTCGTAGCTTAGCTAGCGATTGCTATCGTGGTCAACGACCGGTAGTTGACCTTAGCAGCTACCGGCTAGTATAGGAAATGATACTGTCAGCCCGAAAGTGGTGCTCGGTGTCGGCAGACAGAACGAGTATTAATCCAAATGCCTGTAGGAGAGAGGGGTATTAATCTAATAGTACGTTGGCAATACCTAATAAGGTACTGAAACTTTCCCCGATCATAGCTAGTTGAGCATGTACAGAGACTAACGTCGGCGACACCCAATAAGGTACTGAAACTTTCTCCGGTCATAGCTGGTTGAGCATGTACAGAGACTAAGGGGACCACAAAAAAAAAAAAAAAAAAAAAAAAAAAAAAGCGTGTACAGGGACTGACGAACAAATTGGAGTCTTTTTTTCGCAACAAAAGAGAGGAAAATGATGAGAAGAGTGCCTACGAACGGTACTAGCGTACAAATTGGACAGCAGGTAGTGCAAGCTCGGGTACTGGTAGCTATGGTGGCCTAGGACCGGTACTTGACAAGAGCTACCAGAGGCCATACCCCAGCAACTGCTTTTTTTTTCTTTTTTTTTTTCCAGAAACTTTCAGGGGGGAATTGTTGGAGGGTGATACAGGTATCCCCCAAACGTACCCTCCTCCGTCTAGAGGGCCGATTAATTAGCTGGGTTTAGTTTATGTTTCGAGTTTTTCTCAACATAGCCACACTTTGGCCGTGAGATTTTCCCTATCGGATGGTAGGTAGTGACCCGCGTGTATACTTGCAACTAGAACTGGACCAGATACATCCCCCAGTTCTGTGGGGCATGGCCGCAGTACTGGGAGCTGCGTTAGCCTGCGGAACTAGGAAGTAGGGTGCGCGCATTGTCGTCAGCGTCAGCGCTCCAAAATGTGAGCCACGCTGTCCCACAGCAATGGCATTACAGCTGCTGCCTGGACCTGCCTGCGTTTTTTGAACTTTTTCGATTTTTTTTTTGCGAGAAAAAAGAGGCCCCTGTGTTTTCTCTTCCCCCCCCCAAAAAGGCTCTAAAGTGATCCCGCTTGTATAGATAGAATTCCCTGGCAGTGCCCCTGGGGAGAAAAAACTTGCCTGTGTTGGATATCTGGGGGGCGGGGTGGGGGAGCGGGGAGAGGGGGATTGTTGGGGTGCTCAGGTGGCAATCTCCACGTTTTCGTTTTTTGGGGGTGCAATCACACTATGGCCTTCTGTGTATATAATATTCTGTGTGTGAGAGAGAGAGAATAGAGAGAGAGAAGAGAGAGAGAGAGAGAGAGAGAGAGAGAGAGAGAGAGAGTGGCCCCGAGAGGCCCGTGAGGCGGGGTGCGCAGATGGGTGGAGGGAGGCTGGAGGGAGGTTAGGCAGTCCTTTTTGTCCTTGTTGTCCTTTTCGTTGAGAATAAAGTTTTTTTTAGTCTTTTGGGGAGAGAATAGAGTTTAAATTCGCATTTTTTCTGTAGTTGAGTCTGACAGTGTGTACATGAATTGTTATAAAAAAAAAGTTTCAGAGCTTGCATCCCTTGATCATTGCGAAATAAAAATAATTTGATTGTATCTGGTCAACAAACTGGTGAAGGGGGGAGGTGAAGCACGTAATTTGATAGTCTAGACTCTAGAGGACTAAGAGGAGGTAGGAGATGAACTCTTGGTTTGCGTTTTGCTCCAACAGGGGGGCGGCTGTGCATCACTGAGGTTCGAACTCTAGTATATATATGTATATTGTCACAGCCCCTCGTTTGTTGTCCTCTTCTCTCTCTCTGCCTACGGTTTACCGGGCAGTTCTGTTTGTGATATGTATATATATATCTAGTGCCAGCAGTGTGTCTGGAGTGTATTTTTTGGCTGTGACAGACCTACCTTTGTTTCGTGGATGTTTTGCTGGCTTGTGATGGGGTGTGAACCAACAGTCTGTAGAGTTTTCCATCTGGTGTGGGTGAGTGATAGTCTACTTTGATTTTGGTTAAGGTAGATATCATTTACAGTGTAATCAGTGAGGGGATTCTGCAGACTGTTGAGGGTTCAGCCTCCTGATGAGTCGGTGAAACTCCGACGAAACAGTTTGTCACAGCCCCTCGTTTGTTGTCCTCTTCTCTCTCTCTGCGTACGGTTTACCGGGCAGTTCTGTTTGTGACGATATATATATATATATACATCCACGAGGGCGGCCTTGTACGCAAGAGGTTCTGAACAGGGGGAGTTGTAAGGAAGAAGATACAAAAACGAATTCATTTGTTTCTTTTTTCTTTTTTCTTTTTTTTCGCTTTTGCGCTCCATATTCATGTGATGATATATATACTACATCCACACGCTCCCGTTTTGCCTCCTGGACTCCTGGAGGCATGCCATGTATTTTCATCTCATCATTTTGGAGCAGAAATTTCAGGAATATTGGTTTCCCCATTTCTTTCCTGTTTGGGCAATATAATAAGACGCTAATGGTTGAATTGTTTTCCTCTTTTGGGCAACTGTACGATGATGTGGGTAGCTTTGAGTCCATTCCAAGGGCGGGCTGGTCGCAAAGGGTGTGTGCGCTGTCGTGCAAATCTTGAGATGCCTCGTTAGAGTGGGTGGTGCTTTACCTTTCTTGCCATTTTTTTTCCCGTCTTTTTTCCCCGTTTTTTAATCTWTCTTTTTTTTTTTTTTTTTAATCTGAGTGTGTGTGTGTGTGTGTGTGTGTTTCGTGTGTGTGTTTGTCTTATTTTTTCTTTTTGTGTTTCGACCCTCCCCCCACCCACCACAAAAGAGATGTTATATTGGGAAGATCTGTTAACTGCCATTACTTCGAATTGGACATTTTTTATTTTACACTATTGAGGAAGCCGTCTAGCTAGTTCCTTAGGCCCACAAGTGGCATTCAAGAAAAAAAAAGGAAAAAAACACCACGCAGTGCGGGTTGGTCTCGGATTAATTTTTCTGTACTCCTGTAGGCACTCGTGGAGTTCTTGTCGAGTCTTAAGTAACTGTTCGAAGTTTCACCGACTCATGATCAGGAGGCTGCATCCAATCCTGAACGGAAAAACGGATTGCCGTTATTGCTTGGAGGCTTCTCACTCACAACCCGAATAGGAAGTCCTGACCGGTTGTAGAAGAGTAGATTATTGTTTAGTGTTCCCAGTTTTACACTAAATTACTATAGAATGCTGTTTATCCGTTTAGCTGTGCATCGGGATGAAAACTAATCATGTGTATTGGGATGAAAAGTTGACCCAATGCAGTTGAATGCACAGCTAAAAGGATGATGTGTTTTATTCCGCTGAGCCGATAGCAGGCCCATCAATTTGGGAGAGCAGGCACGCCTCCGCAACGTTCCAAGTGGCCGACAGTCGCCGACGAACTTGAGGACATCGCCTGGGGCCCCGGGGGCATCCTACTCAAACACTCCCATCCACCCAAAGTCCGGGTAGTACATTCAGTGTGTGTGGATACCCCTCGTTGGACGGCTCGATGGCAGAGCATTCTAAAATCCGAAGCTAGTATACACCGGGTAGTACACATTCAGAATCGCTGGACCAGATACATGTAGGGGGTCCGGCGTTTTGGGATTTGGGAACGCCGGACCCCCAGGAGCAAAAAATTCTGACCGGATTTTGGCACAAAAAGTCAGTTTTGATTTCGTTCAAAAAATATAATATGTCCGTTTTGATGAAATGGTTGTTCCTTGGCCCCTTAGGCTAGTATATCATTGTATTTGGTGCAGGATAAAGTCCAGGACCACGGGTACATGCAGAGTGTGTGGATTGAGTTCCCTCTTCTAGCCTACTTGAAAGTCGACGGAGTTATCGCGACAGTCGAGCATAGCCCGGACCGTAGTGCGAAGAAGACGATCGAGATACATCACCAATCCATATGCACGAAACCAGTGGAGAAGGACAAGATTGGAGAGGAGAGGAGAAAGAGGAGAAAACGGAGAAGAAAGAAAAAGAGAAAAAGAGAGAAAAAAAAGAAAGGAGAAGAAGGAAAAAAAGAGGAGAAATACGAGACGAAAGA